TCTTCTCAGCGTGAACAATTCCTGTTGAGCATTGCCCTTTTGAAAGCTTTTTGTTTGCCCCTGTCTTCGACTTGATGTTAGCTGGCAAGCGATGTGGTTTGCTAATGACCTCAACCAGGTTGCTAGCTTGGTAGTAATCTGAGAACAGAGTCTCTGGAGACCAGCTGAACTCTTTTGAAGTTTGCTGTGGTGAATTGATGTACTGCTTCAGATTTTAATTCAGAATCAAACAGAGCCTAAGTAGGGACGATGGGAGGCTACGCTACGGGAAGCTGATGTTGGGCATTAAGTACCTTTGGTTTTAAATTAATAGCCAGCTATGCATTGCCTTTTCCCTATCCTCCACAGTCAGGTATTTGTCAGTAAGTGGATATGTGGGAGGCATTGTGCCACTAGGTGCTGTGGGAAAGCCAGGAAGAATCAAACCCTAGGGGGTGCCTTTGGAAGAGAGCTGTGTGCAGATTTTGAACTTGAGCCATACCTTGAAAAATTGGTACATTTGGAGCAGAAGAGGTAGAAAAGAAAAGGAGAATGGGGAAAGAATTTTGGGTGGGAGTAATGACAAGCTTGAAAGCTTATAGGGAGAAAAATACAAGGTGTGTTTGGGAAATGAAATACGGATCAATCTAATCAGTAGTGAGAAGTTATGAAAGGAAGATTGAGCTTTGTGCGATGGCAATATCGTATCCAATGAGGTTTATCTGAGGTGTGATTGTTGCTAATTGGGGAAGACAAAAAAACTTTGGTCTAGCCTGATAGGTCCTTAAACCCCAAATGTGGGAGACTTTATTTATTTAAGATGGGATCTCACTCTGTCGCTGAGACTGGAGTGCAGTGGTGCAGTCATAGTTCGCTGTAGCCTTGAAGTTCTGGGTTCAAGTGATCCTTCTGCTTCAGCCTCCTGAGAAGCTGGAACTACAGGTGTGCGCCACTATGCCCAGCTAATTTTAAAAGAATTCACTATGTTGCCCAGGCTGCTCTTGAATTCCTGGGCTCAAGCAATCCTTTCACCGTGGTCTCCCAAAATGCTGGGATTACAGGCATGAGCCACGCACCCAGATGGATTTTGACTGTATATAATCTGAAGATAAATAGGAGCCCCAAAAGGTTTATGGACAACAACACTATAGGATGAGGAAGTGTTGGTAACTAACTTCAACTTAGTCTTTGAGTTATTGAATATCCAGATGGGATTGTGATTGGGCTAAAAGATGATTTAGCATCACCCAGAGATAAATTTAGAGGTGGACTAAATTGAATTAAATTAAATTTATTTATTTATTTATTTTGAGATGGAGTCTCACTCTGTCACCCAGGCTGGAGTGCAGTGGCACCATCTCAGCTCACTGCAACCTCTGCCTGCCGTGTTCAAGTGATTCTCCTTTTTCAGCCTCCCGAGTAGCCAGGATTACAGGTGCCCGCCACCACACTTGGCTATTTTTTTTTTTTTTTTGTATTTTTAATAGAGGCAGGGTTTCACCATGTTGGCCAGGATGGTCTCGAACTCCTGACCTCAGATGATCCACCCGCCTTAGCCTTCCAAAGTGTTGGAATTACAGGCGTGAGCCACTGCGCCCGACCAGAGGTGGATTTTATATCTCACGTTTTTGAGGAAGAGAATGGGTCTTTGTGGGAGAGATAATTTGCATACTCAAGAAGAAGAGCATGAAGTAGTTTTAATTGTTGTATGAATGTTAAATATAGGCTGGGAGTGGTGACTCATGCCTGTAATCCTGGTACTTTAGGAGGCTGAGGCAGGCAGATCCCTTGAGCTAGGAAGTTCAAGACTAGCCTGAGCAACATAGTGAGTGACCTGTAGTCTCAGCTACTCAGGAGGCTGAGGTAGGAGGATTGCCTGAGCCCAAGAAGTCAAGCCTTCAGTGACCCGTGATTGTGCCACTGCCATGCACTCTAGCCTGGGCAACAGAGTGAGACTCTATCTGAAAAAATAAAGAAAAAGAAAAAGTTAAATGTAGGTAGAGTGACAAAATATGCTGGATAACCAATAGCTTGTGCTGTTGCTCTCACCTGCCCTTCTGCACTCTGGTAGACATTTCAGAGAGTGACAAACTGTATTTTCTAGGCTTCCTTGCTAACTGGCTTCTGTTTATGTTCTCATGATGAAAGGCATTGGTGTGATACTGGAGGACAGAAGGAGGAATTGACTGTCCTTCTGCTTTTGGATTCTGGTGGCATCTTGGCCAGCAGAGGTAACTGATGGTGATGGCGCTGGCTCCAGTGAAAACGGTAGTAATGCAGTGGCTCACACCTGTAATTCCAGCACTTTGGGAGCCTGAGGCGAGTGAATCACCTGAGGTCAGGAGTTTGAGACCAGCGTGGCCAACATGGTAAAACCCCGTCGATCACTATCTTAAAATACAGAAATTTGCCAGGCAGGTGGGCGCATGCCTGTAATGCCGCTACTAGGGGAGCTGAGGGCAGATTGCTTGAACCTGGGAGGCAGAGGTTACAGTGAGCCGAGATTATGCCACTGCACCCCAGGCTGGGCAACAGAGCGAGACTCAGTCTTGAAAGAAATAAAGAGAGAGAGAGAGGGGAGGAGGAGAGAGAAGAGAAGAAAGAAAGAAAAAAAGAAAGAAGAAAGAAAGAAAGAAGGAAAGAAGAAGGAGGAAGGAAGGAAGGAAGAAAGAAAGAAAAGAAAGGAAAGAAAGAAGAAAGAAAGAAGAAAAAAGAAAGAAAGAAAAAAGAGAGAAAGAAGGAGAGAGAAGAAAA